ATTGCAAAACCACACATGGTTGGAGAATCTTTAAAATTACCTTCAACCTAAAGTATTTTGACGTCTTGTCTTGGCCATACTACAGCAACTAAGTTGAATGTTGTTTCTTTGTCAAATCGCACATGTTTAACGATGAATAAAGGAAACTGTAGCCTAATTAAAACAAACACTAATTGAAAATATAAAGCAAAAATATTTTGATGTAGATACTACATGACTTGTACTGTCTATTAAATTTCATTTTGTAACAACAATAAACTAATATTAAATATTGTTAAATATTTATTGTTAGACTACTTACATATATAAGCTGTTGTTATGTACGCAGTTAGTTTCCTTGTTTGGGAAAATGAATTTTTTTTAATCTAACATTGCCAAAACATGAATAGTTTCGTCTTTAAAACTTATCTGTAATTGGAAATATATACCTAAGACCAACGACTGCGAAATTAACCCCTTAACTGCCGCGAGCGTATATATACGCCTTGCTCAGCCGATGTGTTAACTTCCCCGGACGTATATATACGCCTTTACAAAATACTATCATTTGCTTTACGCTGCTACTCGTAAAATTATTCGCAAAGCTTTGGAATGCAACACCACAATGACCTTGACAAAGTATACGAAGGAGGATGCTATTTCAGAAAAGTGTGGGGAGAAATTGGAGAAAGGGTTGTGTCTAAAGCGATGAAAGTAATGACTGCCCGGTATTCGCTGGTGTTGTTTTCAGTAAAACGTACTTTTTTTTATTCTGTGTCCTCCGTTTTCGGTTACTTTTTGTAGTAGGTTCCAGGAATAAAGAAAGATATAACGGATGTTTCAAACCCATTTATCTTTTTTGAATAATTTTTTGATGAACTGTTCGTGCTTCATATTGTTACTGAAACTAACCATTTTGTAGACGAGTATATGAACCAACACCTTGCAAACGAAAAATCAAGAACAAAATCGTGGCATTCAACCAGTTCAGAAGAGATATATGTTTTTTTAGGCATACTGATTTCACAAGGTATAACACTGAAACCTGATATTACACTTTACTAGTCTAAAAATGAATTGATCGAAACTCCATTTTAGGGATCTTTTTTATTATAAAAACATCATTTTTATTATACTTACATCTTTTTATTATACTTTTACTCAAAACAGTAAATTTTGTGCATTCATTTTTTCTTTTATTCTTTATTTTGTGAAAGTAAACAGTTTTTAGAAAGTAAACTCGCCCTTATATTCCCCCTAATACATCGAATAACTAGGCGCGCCTGTGTGAAAAACCGTGGCAGTGGGAAATGAATCTTGTACGTTTTTCGCGGCAGTTAAGGTGTTAAGGACCGGGTAAGGACACTTAAGCGGCTAAAGGGGTAGGTTGGTGAAAATTGCAGCACCATGAAGAATTTATACAAATTGAACCAAACTTACCGGAAATGTATAGTGAGGTAAGACATGCAAATTATTAGAATAACAAAGCAAATGGACATGCGTGGAGTGAGAACCGCCTGCTTGTTCCATGTATATAAAGGAATGTAAAGTTCCGTTGAAATATATTTATCGTCCTCTGCCTGAGGTGAACGTTTAATTAGTGCTATAAAGTGCAACAACGGAGGGTGCCATACTAACAACTATCAGAGTACGAACGAGGCCGTAGCATCGGTAAACTAGTGGATGGATTTTCGTATCGAGTAATCGCAGCCCTCGCGCAGCGTAATGCTGTAACAATGATGCGTATTTGAAAGAAATGGACAAAGGAGAACCAAATAAAGCGAAATCCTGGCATTAGGGCACGCAATAGCACAACGGCACGGAACGATAAACCGTCTCCTCCGCATGGCTGCGACGGATGGTATGGAGTCCGTGAGCACAGCTACAGGTGTTGTGCTGCGTGCAAGGGTTCCTCTAAGCGGGATTCCCCTGTACCTGAATCACAGACGCCTCTGACTTGAATAGGTACGGCAGCACAGTGCATGGCATGCTCTAAAGCAACAAGTTGTTTTCTCCGATGTATCTCGCTACAATCTGGAGTACAATGATGGAAGAGTAGGCGTCAGACGTTACAGAGAGGAACGTCTGCTCCCATAGTGTGTTATCCAGCGGGTTACCCCAAAAACCTCCTTGCATCATGGTGCGAGGAGCTATTGAGTATAACTATCAATCCCACCTAATGTAGATTGTGAGCAACACAAGGTCACTACACAAGGAAAGTTTTGAAACCAGAGGTCCTCCCATTCTTTCATGCATTCCGGACGTTGTATTTCATCAGAATAATGCCTGTGCACATGTTTTTCAGACTATACAAGCCTTCTTTTCGCTTCTTCATGGCCTGCTTATTTCCTGCATATATCGCCCATTGAGCATGATAGATGAAATACTAGTATTTCATCGGTCGGCGACTCGCTCATACAGCTGGTGGGACACACACTAACACTGAACTTTTGCTTCAAGTCGAAGCCATATGGAATGCCTTTCCCCAGGATTACATTCAGACCCTGTATGATTCAATGCCACGACGTGTATAGATTCTTATCACTCAAAGTGTCGGAAAACAAAGTTATGATTTCCAACCTTCGTTTTGTGTTTTGTCTTGTAAATTTGCTAGTTTATTTATACCACTATCAATAATATTTGAAATAAATTTCATTCATTTCTGACAATTCCTTCATGAAGCTGCAGTTTTCACAAACATTAGTGTATGCATGGTGATTTGCTACTAGACTGACAAACTTACAGGGTGTGTAGGGTACAGAGACGACTCGGAATCACATAGGAACGCAGGGTCGCAAATGCTGTAGTTGCGAGCTATGGCGCAAATATGAGAAACAGCAAGACATTAATGGGACAGAAAACATTTTATTGAAAGGTTGTACTACAACAGGTGTTCGAAATCACCACCAGAAGTCGTCAACCAGGCCTGACAGTGGAACTACATTTAATTCCTTAAGTTCTGGAAGATGCACCGACCTTTTTACAGTACTGGGCAATGAAATTGTTAGTAATTACAATAACCTTCTTTTACACACTGAAGTACGGTGGTTGTCAAATAAAGACATAGTTAGGGTTTACTGAAGTAGTTTGGGTTTACCGGGGACAACTGAAGATTTCACTCTTCTCCGATTTGCCAAGTATGAAAAACATTTAATTCTAAAATTTCGTAACATTATCTGGAGTTCCCGGGATGCTGCGCCTGGAGACAGATGTTTCCCATTACTCCCTCCAGGCTATGCCACAGTTGTCGAATAGAAATTATTTTAACTAGACTCTTTGAATTACGTTCAGAAGGCTCAATTATTTCTAACACAGTGAATCAGAATCCTTTCAGAACTCCGTCATTGATTACAAATGAGCTTTGGTTAGCATGTTTAGCGTATTTGTCTGATATTTGTATAAAACTGAACGAAGCAAATTCAAGTTTACAGAGTTACAATACTATTGTCATTACTGTACATGACAAAATAAACGTAGCTCTGAAAACCCTCGAATACATAATTAAGGGCGTAAAAAGCAAGAAAGTTGCTTTATTACGGACATTAGGCCCACCAGCGGCCGAGAGATAAAAGCTGCTGAACACTGGTAGTTCGGTCCGAGTTCGAGTCCAGGCGAACGTGCTGGCTGTATGGGCGTTTTCGTGTTTTTTCCCATGTGTAACTTGGATACGAGCGAGCTCGTTTCCCTTGAAAAGACATCCACGGAGCATCCCACCCTTTCCGTGTAGTGCCTAAGAGCGGAGCACGTAGTAGGTAACAAATTACAAACATTAGAAGAGTCTATCTAGGAAAGTAATCTGTCGCTGACTTATTGAAAATATAGAAAACACTACACAGGCCTTTTTAACAATTTTCATTTCTACTTCTCTGAAAACTGAAAAATCAAAACTGGATAAAGGATTTTTTTGCAGTTTTGGATTTTGTGCTAAATAATATTTCAGTTCAAGAAAAAGATCAGCTTATAAGCAATGCTGTTAATTATCAGCCATGCTATTAATAAAAAATAACTATATAATTTTACTGCAATTTCAACCTAACTTATATTTGAAATTAATGAAGGTAAACAAACTACGGTACATTGAAACTGGTTCATTTTTTCATGAAACAGGTTCATTCGTCGTTTTAGCCTTATCAATAATAAATCTTGCTTGGTATTACTTGCATTATTACTCACTATTTACTGCAATACATAATATATTTATATTTTCATATAATGTAAAAGTTTCATTTACGAATATAATTAAATAATGAAAAAAATTCAATGTTTTCTTTTCTTTGATTATAAACACTCCATTTAGAATGCATTGATTTTTAGTTGGATCTTACATATATTTTTAATTCTTATTTATGAGGTACGAAATTTTAAAAGTTTGAGAAATATTGGCTGCGGACTTTTCGGTCATTCTGTATATGCTATTAGCAATGTGCTGCGTTTTTCGAGATTTAAAGCTAGATTATGATGCGGCTTACATGTTTGAGTTTTAAAATTAAGAAACAGGTTTAATATTTTGGAAAGTTCAAAAAATTTATATATAGTCTCTAAAAATATTAAAAGAAATTTTAGCTCTGAAGAAATTAACTAAATCAAAATTTCACGGCATTTTTCAAAGAGGACTTAAAACTATTTTATCTGAAACCAATGAGATCGATAAAATTTTATTTGAAGTTAATTGGGAAAATTCTTTGCTTTTTCTGCTTTGTAAGCTTTTATGAAATCGATAATGTATTCTATATGCAGTTATTATATATTTTTTAAAATTGCTAATATAATCGATATAAGTGCATTGTACACTTTTATAAAACTGATAATATATTCGCTATATACGTACAATTCACAAAAATAGAAACCTAAAAAGAGATATTGACTAGAAACACTTTTTCACTATCATGGTTCCATTTATCACTTCACAGACTATGACATCCTTTGGCAACCTGTTCATTTTTTCATAAGATAGTGAAAGAACACATGCAAAAAGTCTCACGCTTTTGGTATATATGCAAATTTTTACTGCGTGATGTACGTCATTCGCCTTCAAAATGATGAAAGTAACCGTAGCCGTTCTCTGCGTCTGCATCGTATTTGCCGTGAGTATAAAATCACATGTTTTTTAAAAGTGCTATTCAAAAATCTCTTCTTCAAAAATTATAATGCTAATTATCTTCAAATTTCAGTGAAGAAAAATAATTTTAAGGTGTATTAATCGTAAAAAGGTTTCCTATTTTTCCATTAGTTTAAACGGAATTTATTTCATTGTGAAAGAGATGTTTTTTTTTTTTTTTCTAATCCTTGTACCTATAATCTCAAGTAAAATATACTACTAGAACACATCGAGACCGGTTTTTACGGAATAGATAACAAATGTTTTATTTTTAAAAAAAATTAAAAGTACAGCTAAATTGACTTATTTTTCATAAAATATGTATACATAAACTGATTCAAACGCGATGAATCAATGATATACATATTTTATGCATGTAAAATATTTTATGAATGAAATTAAATTTGAATGCAAATTTTCAAAAAAACGTCAAATTATAATTATGAATATATTTTAATTGCAGTTGAAAAATCAGATGGTGAAAACAAATGTTAATTACGTATCAGCAAAATGTTATAAACTTATAAGGAAAATTTCAAAAATATTTTTTTTATTCAGCTTCTACTTTTAAACGTGTAAATACTACTAGAAGACATAAACTTCAGGAGAATTTTACGCAATTCAGTGCTTTAAGGAAAACTCTACTAGGAACTTACTTCACGTTTCCAAAATTAAAACTATTTAAAAAATCTGATCATGTAAGTTAGATTTCAGTTTTAAATGCAAAATCTAAGAATGCTTCTTGAACAGTAGTATATAATTCGAAAGCAATGTTTTAAAAAGGCGCCGTTTGAAAGGTGTGTCAAAGTAAATCTTTTAGAAGTTAGCTTGGATATTTTCCTTTTTAAATCAGAATGAATAGTTTGTAAATGAAACTGGGAAATGTTATAAATTAGCAAAAGCCATTTGAGTACATAAACGATACAAGATAAACTTTTCGTTTTAGTCACAAAACTTCTGCTTGAAAATTACTATTACTTCATTACAGCTTCATTTAATTCTTGTTTGAATTTATAGCTAATAGTCTTTTTCCATAATTTGTTGTACTTTTAATTAAGAACTTGCCTTTTGAAAAAGAATTTGCATTAAATAAAATGTATTTGAAGCTTTTTCTATTAGATAACAGTAGTCTAATTAAGAGTTTTACTGATATTGCAATGCATACTAGTCTGCAAGTTTTGCTGTGATGAATTTGTCTGCTAAAATCTTGTTATCTTTTAAATATTTCCTAGGTAGCATCGGCAAAAAAGTGCGAAAGCTCCGATGATTGTGAAGCTGACGAATGCTGTGTCAAAGGAATTATATTTTCTTCTAGGTGCCAAAAAATGAAAACAGAAGGTAATGGCTAAACCTCTAGAAAGTCTTTCTCTTCCTCTAATGAAGTAAAACCATTTAAAAATCAGAATTATTGGAGAGGACCTTTAAAAAATAAATTATACGTTAGATAATATTTGTAGAAACGCTAATTATTTATACATAAATATATACAATCGTACGAACTGTATAATTAGAGTTTTCGTTAGACCACAAAAAAATTTTCAAAAGGGGAAGGAATACCTTTACTTCATATACCCAAAACTTTTTCATGATTAACTGAAGTACTGTAATAAAAATTTAATATAATCATGAGGTTGGAAATATTTCATATTTCTTGACATTTTTAAATCATAAATTGTTGAGTTATTTATTAGGTCGAGTCACTGTGTGATATCATCATCAAGAGTAATGTAAGAGGTTTTGTACGAGGATTTCGCAAAATTCCTCTGACATTTTCCCGGTTTTGAATTCGAAATGTTCAGATTACGGTAGTGTTCTGTTTGTTATTATACCAGAAGAGCACTTCAAACGCTCCTAAATTTCCTCTTTTCTTCTCTTTCCTGTAGGCGACTGGGGGAAAGATGGGTAACATCAGTAAATCTTGTTCTGGGATGCATTAATGTCTCCATTTTAAAATTCTCCTTATAATAAAGAGCGGCTCCAATCAGTAAATGCGAAGACTCCATATGTATAAGTACCCCACATGTAGTGAAATCTCTTAAGCTAATAACCTCCCGCAGTTAACCACCTCGGGACCTCCACTATTTTTTAAAACTTTGAAACCTATAAACAAACATCAACATTCGAGCTCCTAAGATAAGAATTTCGTTTCTACACTCTGAAACAAAGACTAACACAAAAACGCTGCTGCGTACACCACATGACTTTCTTGTACGGAACATTAAATTATGCGCATTTTTTGCTGCATTTCATTTAAACTTTATTCCTCGAATCTCATTAGAGATATATTTCTCATTCAATGAATTCAGTTCTCACTTCGCAGCAAAGCAAATTGCATAAAGCTTCAAAATATCTTTATTAAAAATTGAAAAATATGAGAAATGAAATCGGAAAGTTTTCAGATTTTATATTACGCCCAAAGGGGCATTTTAACGTTTTGCGTGTTACTTTTATTTATTAAATATCATGTTCTTCGCATTTAAACCATAAAATTCAATTTAACAGCAATATCACAAAAATAAATAATAATATTATATCACACTAAAGAATAAACTTGAGTCTCGCTTCGAGACCATGTCATTTAAGTGTTACTTATTGTTATTCACAACACATCTCATACATAAACATATTAGACTGAAATATTATTGAAATATAATTAATCGGGTAAGCCGAGGGAAAGAATAAAGAATAAACTAACCTAGTAAGCAAAAAATAGCCGTTACATTTTGAATTCTAAATACTTGTTTGCATAAACATATATGACAAGGCCTGCCGGGGAAAAGATATCAGACGACTGCAAACGCACGATCGCCAGAGCTCACATGACCATCTTATTTTCACCAATTTCAAAAGTGCGCAAAATTCCAAAACGAAATTAATAGCCCATCTTGGCAAATTGTCCCTTTGGGCTAATGCAAAAAACAAGCAGTTCGTACAGAGGGCAAAAAGGCAGATTTTTCGGTTCACAAAACTGAAGCTTACTTTTAGTCCCACTCAGCAAAAAAGAAACTGAATGTGCATCACTATTCTGCTAAGTTTCAAATGTAAACAAATATGGCTGCTGTGGTAAAAAAATTAGGCTTACCCGCACTTAAACAGTTTTTAATTGTTGATAATTCTACAACTATTGCATGCAGCTTAACTAAATGATGAAACTCTTAACCCGAAGATAACACCAACATAATTCAATCATTTTTAGAGCAAAAACTTTATAATTTACCAACACATAAGAATTAACAAAAACTGAGCTCACGGAGCCGAGTAACAGAGGGAATATATATACAGTAGAAATTTAGAATTATATATATATATATATATACTTTTGGTACTTTTGGTGCGGTTGATTGCAACCAAAAAGAAAGGTGATCAACTACATGTTATAGCAGCACTATATACCAAATTTCAACTTTTTGAGGCTACTCGTTTTTGAGTTTTGCGAGATATATACATGCATACGTACGTACGTGCAGACGCCACGAAAAAAATCTCTTTTAAATCCACTTTAAATCCTTTTTGCAACCCGTTTTAGGAAAAAGAGTCTTTTATTCTGTCTTTACCTACAGATGTCAAGCAAAAACATCGTTCAGTTGTATTCAATAGCGGTCAAAATGGATATCGATTTCGTTGAAATATGACACCCGAAAATTTTCGCGATAACAATACTTCCTTTACTTCGTACAAGGAAGTAATAAAAAAGGACGAAAATTGTATACTAACATATTTGTACATTTTTACTATTTCGAAAAAAGGATTTCCATTTTAAACTGATGGGATAGTGTTTTGTGGGGTTTCTGAAATAAACTGAGATTAGGAACTGATCTCCAATCATTTTTATCATTTTTCGTTTTCATTAGTGCCCCAAGCTGTTATAACAATAAGTAAGTTAACAGGTAATATTTCAAATCTCGTACTGTCGTCCTAAGCCAGATTTTGAGTTCAGATAGACAAACAGTTACGTAAACTTGCAGTCTAAATATGTAGCGAAGCGGTATCTTAACTTTAAATTAATAAACCTAAGAATACATCACTGCGAGTGGACTGTAAAATTTAACCTTTATTCGGCGGTTTGAACTTTCGAACACAACACAGCACAAAGTAAAAACGACAGAGTTACAATTAGCGGTTTTTAAGAATGCAAGAACAAAATGCGAACTACGCATACAAATCTGCGCATTGCGAAATAATATCTAACAGACAGGCAGAGAGCTCTGGTGGCTGAAACAAAATATGTTTCTTCTCTTCGAGCACCCTGTGATAAAAAAACTGCATGTATAACTTACAAAAATAAATACTTAAATTACATACATCAATTAACTTTAAAAGCAAACTACGGTATTCATAGCTATAATTGCGTTTAAGATTTAACATTATACATCACTTTTAGTCATGTATTAATTATACTGATTGCTTTAACTGTAGGTGTTTTGCTTTAACTGTAGGTTTTCCCATTTTATTCAAAAGACTTTTTTTTTAATTGTGTGGGACTTTGTGAGGTAAGAAAAAAGCCATTTTTACCCTATCAGAATATTTTCCTATTTCTTGCTTTCACTTCTAAATACTTGACTACGAACTTATACGTCGGTGAGATTTTTTTTTTTCTTTATTTGAAAAGCAAACTAAATAACATAAGTTGTGTTTATTTTAGTATAAAAAATTCAGAAACACTTTGGCATAGAAAAGACTTTGATTCAAATTGCTCTGACAGAGGAAAAATCTTTGTCTTCTTTGATTGCAAACCAGAAATTGCTATTACTGGGGGGGGTAAAGACAGAGAGAGAGAATTATTTATCTAAAGGTGTCTGACACTTTAGTTTCAAGGTCAAATTGTTTGCCCTTTTTTTCTCCTGTTTACTCGTATTTTATTTGCCATTTCCATTCTTCAATGTACCTCATTTTTTATACTCGAAAATATGCAAATTACTGTTTTCTTCACGGGAATAAAGTAGCGTACTGTTAAAGAAGTTGTCAAGTATGTTAAAACTAGAAAGGTGATAAACATTTGGAATTAGTTGAAGATGCAAAAAATTATGCAAAACAAATTATTTATTGAAGAGTATATTTTCTAATCTAAGTGATGTTGTATATCAAGTTCTCTTTACTCTTAAATTCAGTTAAGAAACAGTAAACTGGTTACCTAGGTCAAAAGATGGTTAAGTGTCGTTATTTACATTGATTTAAATAAAAGAAATAATCTAAAATATTCATAATGAAACTTGGCAATATTGCTGCATTTTTATTGTAAGATTTCACGATATAAAACCACGCTTTTTAGTACTTATTTTAGATTTGCCTTTGTAATACTAATGAAAAGATTTATTTCTAAAATCATTAGTAATTCCATTAAACAGAGATATACCTAAATTCTATTCGATATTCATAATAAACATCTATAAAAGTTATTCCAATTTAATAACTTGGAAAGAATTATTATTGATGTTGCTATAGAATCATGTTAAATAATTGGCATATTTAAAATTATAACTTTACTTTCGTGAAATGATTTATTTTAATTTACATCTCAGTTAAAATCGATTTCGAAGAATCTGAATTTGTTTTCAATTTCTGTTTAGTTAACATATGATATGTTAACACTTTTCAATTACGAGAAAAACTAATTTCAGTTTTTTGATCCATTCACACGTTTCCCATCACAATTGTACAAATTCATGTTCGCCTTTAGATAATCTGACGAATGAAGTAGACAATTTATAACCTTCATTTGTAATATTCCTTTGCAAAGCACTTTTCTTATTTTAATTGCAATTATACCATACATTGGGCTACATACTGTTTATGCTAATATTAACTGTTTATCACACATTATATACGTTCTTCTTCGTCTGTAATGGAAATTGATAACCATTAAAGCGAACTAGCTTTTTTATGTATCATATTTTTGCTTCATTTCTAGGTGATTTGTGCATTCAGCATCCCGATGAATGGAAGGAAGATAACAAATACCGATTCGCCTGTCCTTGTGCTGAAGGACTAGAATGCAAACAAGAAGAAAAAGATGAAAACAGCGTAAGTATAATTTCATCTTCTTAATAAACCCTATCATTATTTCTCTGGACTCCGTTTGTTATATCACACCTGTTACATGATGCCCCTGATGTAAAATGTATGACTACTCTGTAGTCACCTTTTAAACATTATAACTACACAGCACGGAATTTATACGCAATATACATGTCACTTATGACAAAATTAACAAATATCTTGGTTACAAGTACATCTTGAAGAGTAGTGTTTTTTAAATACCAGAAAATAGCCCTATTAGCAATATTTTTAAGCCCCCTTAATTCCAGCAAAATTTAGAATTTGCATCAAATATAAACATTAATTTACAAAGCAGAAAAATAAGAAGCACTATATCTCTTACTTCCTAGCAAAGTCAACTGCCCAAGGGGCGCTCTGTGTCTGCTAAAATTAAGAAGCGGTTCAAAACTTAATTAATACATTGAACCTAAATGTCAAAGTAATAAAAGAATTTTGAGATTTGCCTTTGGTGCTAAAATGTCTAAAATCACTGCAGTATGTAAGTATGGGCAGTTGTTTGCATTACCGATGCGTGTCAAACATATTTCAAGACAGGAGCGGTCTGAGACGATACTGAAATCAGCAACTATAAACCATTGAACTCTAGCGTTCGAAAGAGCATAACCTTGTTTGTCTACTAACCTTTCAAATTAGAGTCTAACACATTATAATTTTCTGTCGGATGAAGAGGCAATTAATTTATAAATTAATGTATTATACTGATTGACGCCTCACTTCAGTGCGATTTTCAATTAATGTATCCGCAACTTCGTTATCTGTTTCTCACAATATGATTGAATCCACTGAAGAATAACTTTTATTTGGCACTTTATTACTGATACAGGTACCATCTTCATTCTTTAATTTTCTAGGAAGCCGAACCTATTTTTTAGCAATAATTTCCACGGATACATAAAATAATGGCATGACAGAAAGAGTCGATAGACAATCTAGCAAAATGAAAAACATCCACTGAAGAACAGCTTATGTTCGGCATTTAATTAATATTATAGGCGCCATTCTGCATTCTTTAATGTTCTAGAAAGCTGTATCTATTTTTGTTAGCTACAATTTCAACAGCTGCAGAACATAAAGACATGACAAAAAGAATCGAAATTAACCTTTAGCTACACTAAGGATGCTTGATTTGAGGCAAAATTTCCACCAGAGTTCATATTTAATCTGATATAATGGCATAATAGATCATGCGAAAATTTGCAGGATAAATTTTTTCTCATGAATTTCAAACGAATAAATTCTCCGTCGCATCACGTTTTCCTAGAGATTGATTTAAAACGTCACTGATTGGATTTGAGAAATCCAAATCGGAATAATATTTATATGTATGTTAACAGGTAACTGCGTATTTAGCAAGATAACACTCAAAGAACACACATAACGATAGATTCCTCACATAATTTTATTCCTTGATAATGCACATCACTGAGAGTGCGCTATGCTATCCCCCCTAATTTTGTACAGCGTACATCTTAATCAATGGACAAAATTAGAAAAGTAAACTCCACGTGGGGTAGCGGCAGCGAAAGAAAGCAGAAGTGAAGAACGAAGAAAGGAACTACGCAGTTAGTAGCTATTTATGCTAGGTAGGTGCATAAAGTACAGTTAAGCTGTGACTGGTTAATTTTAGGTTGTTATGTAACGTGGAAAGATCGAGAACTTAGGAGAGCAGATGAACTTAGAGTGTAGAACACCAAATTGACAATAGTTAGTTTTGAGGTCGCCAATCGTTTCTTAACGCAGCCATCGTATTTTGCTATTATCTTACATATATATATGCGTGTGTGTATTTGTATGTCTGTGTGTTTTATCTTTGGAAATAGGTAAGACAGTAAATTATTTTTTTCTGTTGCAGATCTTGCCCGCGATGTACAAGTGCCACGCTTCATAACTGGAAAACAAATTGTAGCATATATTTGTATTATTTCCAGCTAAATAAATTCTGCTAAGATCAACTAATTTTTCCAGAAATTAGATATCTTTCCTTGATTTGTGTTCCTTTCTACAAATGACCAGCTGCAAAGCTAGAAACTAAACTATAGCATGTGTTTGTATTATTTTTATCTAAATAAATTCTGTGATACCTAATAATATTCCAGAAATCAGTTTTCTTTCCTTAATTTGAATTGTGTTTTTCCTCCTCAAACTGCAAGAAAACGCATATAAGTAGATTTGCTTTTGGTATTAAAATTACAGTGCGCTTTCTTCTCGTATGATTATAACATAAAATTTAGCAAAGAAACATTTAAAATATCTTTAATTCCCCACAGAACTTTAAAAAGGCATGGTGGTATATCACAATAAGTTCATTATGTACGAGAGAACATTCTGAGTAATTGGAAATGAATATAACACATAAATTATTCGAATTTTAGTTAGTTAATAGTAGTTAATAACAATAATTAGTACTTATTTTAATTAATAATAGTCTCGAGCCGAGGCTGAATTTGCACTGTTAATGACTATCCGTGCATTTGAAAATTTGAATAAATCTAAGTTAGGTCCTCAAGGTGCTAAAGGTAACAAATTAAAAATCTAAAAGATCGTGAAAGAAGATGGATAAGATGTTTGGTTTTATTATGATGATTTATAAATGTAAGGAAGTTTCGCTTCTTCACTACGTAACTTCGGGGTGTAAATGTGTAAATGGTAGGTCGTCTGGCTAACTAGAGCTTTTGAAAGAGAAAGATCTCAGGACCGGGCTTGGATTATTTTTCGTATTTTTTGCTTTGAAAAGTAAATAGGACTCTAGGATTGTTAAATACTGTTCGGTATGTATTAATCTGCTTCAAAATAAATCGCTTTTCTGAAGTCACAAGGAATAATTTTGCACATTTAAGGACTTAAAGTGCATTTTCTCTTTCAAAACTGTAGGAAACAGGTTCTTTCTTTTAAAATAAGTAGAATTTCAACTTTAGGTCAAATGTAGTTTTGAAAAACCCTCTGTTTTCAGAAAGTACATTCAAGTCTAGTGCTCTGTTATAAAATTGTGAACTATTTTTCTACTAAGTCTTTTTTTTTTAATTTGTCTGCAATATCAACTTAAGTCAACCATTACAAGATTTTTTTATTTGAAGAAAGAGGACCTTGTGTCAGTCTCCTTTCAAATTCAAGTGAAAAACAGTGGTAATTAATGACTGAATTTTGCCCGAATTTAAATTTGAAGTTGAAGTTGTACCTTTTCCCGCAATATTATAAAGCAGCATTTTCTGATACTATAGGGCTTTGTTTACGTAAAAAAATATGAAAATTATGATTTTTTTACCTAATTCATTAAACAGAGTCTCATGTCTTGCTGTTTAAAGATATTTGTATGAAAATATAATACGTTTTTATGCTGTAATACGTTTATAGAATACGTTTAACAAAGCTGTAAATAACAAGCTCCTGTTATATTACACCATTTAAAATATGAAGATGTATGTAAATTTCAGTAACATTTGCATAATTCTTGATGGCTTTCACGCTATGTAAATTAAGCATGCAATTGTTTTCTGTGCTATTACTGTTAAAACGTTCTAATAAAACAGTGAAAGAAAACGATAGCATGTCCCCTTCATGAGAAATAAAGAGACTTCCCTTTAAAAAATTGTCAAGCAAACGCTATACTTCGAATTTTCTGCCTCAAGTGCGACGAAATTTATGTTTGTGCCAATCTTGTAGCCTCTTGTATCAAATGGGATGGAAAAAGTAACATATTTTAAAAAATTAACTGGGAAAACCCTAAACAATGAAAACATAAAATTTTAAGATTTTGGTATTATAATTAAAATACATTTCATTTCAAAGTCAATGCTCCAAAAATAAACTTAATCTTTAACCATCTACAGTAGTTTTGGATGTTTTCTTTAACGTACTGTTGTAACAAAAGAAATTTACTTGGATATTATAAAATTTTTACTCCCTCGCAAGTTTCTTATTTACCTAAATGTTATATAGCAGAAAGACAGAACAACCCATCAATTAGATAAAGACTCTGTCCGGGAGATTATCTGAACCAAAAGATTCCCAATAATAGACTACATTATTACACTCCTTAAAACACTTCCAGAGCGAGATGATCCAGTTTAATTTTCATCCCATTTTCTTGACATTAGAAGTCCAAAGAAAAAGGAGTGCTCCCTTACGTGCTGGATATGTCAAGTATAAGCCCAAACGGTACAAACGAAAAACGAGATACAAACGAAAAACACTAAAAAACTCAAAATTTAGGCAGCTGCCCAAACGGTAAAGTGATTAGTGACTCTGATTGCTATACCTAATGGCCCGAATTCGAGTTCGATTCCGGAGAAAGCATGGATGTGAATTATCTGTCGCTTCATAGGAGGTAACGGTGGTCCACCTATTAAGGTGCCTCCATCATAAGTGACCACCGCTTCTGGCCTTAGTAGTGGCCAACACCTATAATAACTAGTGGCCGCTATAGGAAAAAAAAAATCCAGACAGTTACGGTTGTTTCATAAACTTTCGAATTGAACTTAAATAAAGCATCAATTTCATAAGCAACGATCAAGAAATGAGTCATGAATCGAAGTTTGCGAATGATGCGATTACCAAAAATGACCTTAATAAAAGTAAATATTGTATTATTGCTGTTTATATTTTTTGCAACCATTTTAAAATGCATTATTACACTCCTTTTCAAAAAGAAATCGAAGCACCAAGAAGGATTCTTGCGATCGTGACGAAATTTGGTACGCAGAAACATCTTGATCGAACATGCAAATGATCAAAGTTTCAAGGCAAATGAACTGAAATTGAGATCATAAGGCGCATTTCGCAAAGTATAAAACCAGTAACAGAGGCGGAAAATTTGTCTTTTTTTTTTTTTTTTTTTTTTTTTTGTTGTTGTTGTTCTTGTTGTTTCTGCCACTGTAATTCCGTAAAGAAGCAACTAAAGATGCCATTACGACAATACCGAAGACCTTACAGACAGCTAAACGACTTCGAACGTGGTCGCATTGTAGGGTTGCGTGAAGCTGGGTGGTCATATCGAGCAATAGGCCGCCACCTGCAGCGTACAGACACTGCTGTGCAAAGATGTGGGCAGCAATGGTTGCTACAAGGAAATTGTCGACGAATTGAAGGCTCTGGAAGGCCAAGGAGCACAAATGAGAGGCAAGATAGGATGATTGTTCGCCAGGCCCTAACCGCCCCAACGGTACCATTGTCGACTATTCAATGCACGACACCCACGTCTATACCTCCCGTGGTACCGTCCACCATCTTACGGCGCTTGTCTGAGGAGGGGTTACGCTTACAGAGACCTTTAAGACGTTTGCCTTTGACCCCACAACATCGGCAGAGTCGTCTGGAGTGGTGTCGCAGCCGATCATCATGGCTGCCATCAGACTAGCATCGTATAGTGTTCAGCGATGAATCCCGCTTCATTCTTGAAGCAGATGACCACCGAGTTCGTGTCTGGAGAGGATGGAGCCAGCGGTCACAATCAGCCTTTTTTTTACAAAGGCAGACAGCCATAACACCTGGTATGATGGTGTGAGGCGCTATTTCTTATGACATCAGGTGGTCATCTTTAGTCATTCTCCGTACATCTTTAACAGCTCAACGACATGTTGATATCATCCTGCGGCCGGTTGCATTACCCATCATGGCACTTAATCCTGGGGATATGTTTCAACAAGACAATGCCAGGCTACATATCGCTCGCATATCTCTGGACTGTCTCAGTGCGGTTGATATTTTTCCTTGGCCAGCAAGGTCACCAGACCTTTCACTAATCGAGCATGTATGGGACATAGTAGGCCGCCAGATTCAGGCACCAGAAAATGCCGCAGCTCTGGAGCGACAACTGATGAATGCCTGGCAGAATGTGTGGCAGGATCACATTAGGAGCCTCTACAACTCCTTGCCTCGACGAATTCAAGCATGCATTGCCGCCAGGGGCGGTTCGACCAACTATTAATTTAAACACGCAATGGGTGATTGTGAGCCGTGAACAAGTACTATGGCCTTGATTTTTTAATCGTTTTATTATCTGTGTATGTGTATCTGTGTGTATGCATAGACATATTCAATTTCATCAAAAACAACCACTTTCTTCATGGTGCTTCGATTTTTTTGTAAAAGTGTGTATTTTAAAATGCATTGAGACAATTCCGTACATCATTTAAATCCTGAGTGTTTATTTTATTAATTATGTTATACAAACGTAAATTTCAAGAAGCTTGTTAGGCCCTTCTCTTTCCAGTAACTTTCCTGAACTATAATATTTTAACACTTAGTGTAAGCATATTTTTAGAGAATTAGAATTAAAAATAATTAATAAAAAAACGAAATTTCCAAATTAATATTTTAAAAATCTAATACAATTTTGCATTAATCAAGAAGACCAACAAAATAAATTTTCATATTCAGATAATTTGAACTTAACTGAAAATTCTGAATTCTTCGGCTAGGCCCCAAACACGAAAAATTCCAGTTTTCCAAAATCATCCTCTTTGTTTCTTTCTTCTCTTTCATAAAAATGGATTCACACTTCTCAATTTCCAAAAACATCGAAAACGTGAAGAATCTTTAACTTCCCTCAATTTGTTGTCACGATTTCTTTTATAAGAAATAATCTAAGAAGACATATCACTTATCGCTGTAGCACGGATGGATTACAGCTAACTTTTAGCGTGGTTCATTTGCACATTGAAAATGCCCATGAAATTGTTGAAGCAAACGAAGCCGACATGCTTCGTTTGATATTGGTAAATATAAGAATAAGGTATGATTGACATTGTATTGACGCAATGTTCAGTTTAGCCTCATTATAAAAGAATAGCCTGGCTTTGTTTCCCAGTTTTGGTCTTCCCTCAGCATTCAAACGAGCCTTCCAAAAATATGCTCTCACTACTGTTAATCATTTTGCTGACGGCAACAATTGGACCTGCTTCAGCGGTTGTGAGTAAAATGCGCTTATGAATCTTTATTAGTAGTAGCTCTGTTAAATAGTTTTAATCTTCTAATAAATTTTTGTAAAGTTATATTTTATTTTATTTGAAGCACTGTATATGCAAGCTGTTATTAAGAAACAAATAGCTGTTTAATATAACATGGAAGTTTCTTTGTTTTTACTTAATAGAAT